ATGCCAGCTTTGGCTACAACTACCTACATGTGTACACATGTATGTATATAAACAAAAAATAAAGTATTATTCGAATATTTAAAGAGTGCAGTAGGTAAAAAGAAGGAAGTGCAATGCAAATATGTATGTACTTTTGTATGTTAAAAGTGCAACTAGGTACATATGTAAACAGCAAAAAGTGTGGTGCAATAAATGTGCAAAGTGGAGTAGAATGTCTGTTTTCCTAAGCGTCACAATATAAAAATCAGTTTCTTTTAATTCCAATTAACAAAAAATTTACTTAATTTGTGCCAACTGAGTTGAATGTAAATTGTGTAAATTATCATTTCACGGTTGTGTCCTCAAGAATTGATGCGTTTTTAAAAACAGTAATTTTCGGTCAGGAACAATATTTGCATCCGCTGCATTTGCACCAGTTGTTCTAGTTGCATCGACCAGATGCTGGCTGGGTACCTACATTGTATACATACATATGTGTGGAAATAGTTGCAACTGCATAAGTACGTAGATATGTATGCAGTAGAGCTGTAATACTATCGATAGTTGAAAACTGTCGCCACTATCGATAGTTTTTGAAAACTGTCGATGTCGGTTTTAGCGAAACTTCTCTTTCATCTCTTAACATTACATTAATGTTTTTATCCTAGAAAATTCACAATACAGCCGGCAAAAAAAAATTTTAGTTATTGGAATTTTTAGCAATTATAAGCTTACACTGAGTTATAGTAAAATTAAATAAGCTATAAAACCGCTTACACTAAAGTTTTATAGAAATTCGAATTAAAAAGCTTGAAATTTTAATGATTTTGTAGTTTCTTATGTTTTGAACAACTTTTATAAAAATTAGTATACACCAAACAAACAAAAAAATTGTCAAAACTGCTAAAAATGTTGTGGCGCTTGTAATGTAGCAACATGGTCGAGCCAGGCGAGCCGGCATGCAGGCATGCTTGCATCCCAAGCTAGCTCGTCGTCGGGGTGGGTCATTTCCGCCTGCCTTGCTGTCAACTACATTAGCAAAAAGTTATTCATGCCTGATACCTAGTGTACTAGTGGAGATGGCTATAGCAAATGCGAAGAAAGCAGAGAACAAAGAGATAGCAACAAATGAAGAGATGGTCCTGTCCTGTCAGGTGGAGTCACCCCACCCTTCTTCTACGCGAACTTCACGCGAAGCCTTGGGCGTTGTCGTGACTCCTCACCTACTTTACAACGCCCCCTAACCTGACATCAGTCCGTTTATCTATAAGTCCGTCATTATACCGTCATTGTCAACGTTTGTACACTCCCACTTCCCCTCTTCTGCACAAGCGCAACACCCACACCAAAAATTTCGTGCTTAGCACTTCATTATGAAAACCCCACACTTAAACAAAATCAACCTCAAATCATTTCCTTCCTTTTTTCCTCACTTTATTATTACATCAAACTTTAACCCTAATTACAACCAAAGAAAATCCAACACTTAACTCTAAAACTCAAATTCACAATCCAATTTTTAACTCTACAACTCAAACTCTAAAATTCAATATTTAACTCTAAAATCCAATATTTACCTATACCTACACGTAATACTTAACTCTAATCTCAATCTCTATCTACTCCTAACATAAAAATTCAAGTTTAAATCCACGTACCCTAATGCTAGCTAAATTCTATTTTTATACCTCTAAGCGGTCTACCACACCTTGATTACCGCGCAATCTGAAGAGTTCCTTAATTAAATCTCAAAAATTCAATTACCCTAACAATATTCAATGAACTTCAAAAATTTACAAAATTAACCTACGGTGATAACCCAATGGATGCATGTATATCTGCAATTACATACGTATGTACACTTAATGTGCATGTGCGTATGTAAATATATGTATATATATATATGTATGTAAATAATAATGTAGGCAAATTTCACACTCACCTTGGTCTCCAGAAATGATGGCGCCAGCACTCTGTTGAGAACCTGTTTGGGAGAATTAGAACCCTAACATACATACATATAATCTAAGATATTTCATGCATATGCTCTCCTTCAGCCGCGTTGCTGAGGCGTCGACCTAGCAGTCTTCTACGAGCGGGTCATGACAAGCGTGAGGGAAACTCAAAATAATACAAGGGTGAATGAAATTATTAATTAAAAATTGAAGCTAACAGTACGTAAATTAACGACACAATTAATTCAACGTCGCGATTAATTCAAAATTCAGGCTTTAACGCGTAGCTTTAGGTTACATCTATCTACATATATATAAACATATGTATACATACATACATATAATCTAAGATATTTCATGCATATGCTCGCCTTCAGCCGCGTTGCTGAGGCGTCGGCCTAGCAGTCTTCTACGAGCGGGTCATGACAAGCGTGAGGGAAACTCAAAATAATACAAGGGTGAATGAAATTATTAATTAAAAATTGAAGCTAACAGTACGTAAATTAACGACACAATTAATTCAACGTCGCGATTAATTCAAAATTCAGGCTTTAACGCGTAGCTTTAGGTTACATCTATCTACATATATATAAACATATGTATACATACATACATATATGTATATGGATATACATATGCTCATATACGTGAAGAATAGCTAAAATAAAGTGAAAATACGTATGGAGCCGAACGAAAGAAAAAAAAAAACGTGTTGATCCCAACCAAAAAATTTACAATAACAAGGTGAAGTTAATGAGTGGCAAAAACTAGATGCTTTGGGAAAAATACGTACGGCAAAATCGATTTTTACTTACAAAAATTCAAAAAAACAAATAACTAAATAAAAAAATTACTTACAAAAATTAAAAAAAAAAATTAAAGAAAAATGAAAAAAATAACTAAATAAAAAAATCAGTCTAAAGCAAGATGCTAACGACAAAAATGCGACCACCCTACTACTGGCACGTGATAAAATGAAATATGAAAACAACAAAACGGTAAGTAGAACTAAAGGAATGTGCCTAGCGAAAATCTGCTCTACATATATGTATGTACCCTGACATGTATGTACATATGCATAAAAATTTAACCAACATAAAATATAAAATCCAACTGGAACTGGAACTATGCTCCCGGCGCTGCTGTTGATCGACGGTATATGTGGAGCGATAGTCTCCACTGCTCTCTCGCACACTGCTGCCGTCGATGTTATGGTCCTCTCCACTGTTATGCTCCTCTCCACTGTTTGATGGAATCCACATGTATGTCGAATGGCCGTTGACCTACTCCGGCCGAGATATTTCAATCAGCTGTTCCTGGTGATGTTGTTGCTGCTGGCTCTAATTATTAGCCGGGTTATCGGCACTGCTGTAGGGCTTAGATATGGGCNAGCACTTCTGTAGGGCTTAGATATGGGCCACCTTGTCGAGTCGCCGGGTGACAGTTAAGGTGGTTTCGTATCTTGCATGAACGTATGCACATATGTATATGCCTGAGTGCGTTTGTACACTTGCGCTGATGCCCGGCCCTTGTTGGTATGCTTTATTTGCCGGTGCGGGTGGTTGTGGTCCGTGGGTGGTAGCGTTTACGCATATATGGGCGTATGTATGTATTTTTACTTGGCTGCAACTCCAAAGTTTTCTTCCTGAATGCTTGGGCTGATTTTTCGGGTTTAAACTACCGTGTTGTTGTAAAACAATGGAGGTCCTTTCGCTGTGTTAGCAGGCGACCTGAAATCAATAAAAACTTCCATTAGCCCTCTTTGATATATTTAAGATTTTAATCTCGCGTACTCTTTTGCTACATTTGAGTCTCACTCATCTAGGTACTTGGACATATGCGTATCAAAGGTGTCAAATGAAAGTGTTCGCACTTACCTCCAGATCCAGAATGTGACTTTGATGACCCCAGGTACCGCTAGTATCCTGGTAGAGCACTGGGGGACCGTATTCACTCACTTTAACTATAAAACTTTAAACTTTATTACTTATACCACAAGCAACCACTTTAAAATTACACTTCACTTTCACTGTAAAGTACCACCGCAACTTTCGTTTTAAGAACCGCTTGTCTCAGTTTTGGTCCTTTTATATCTTTCTACGTCAAGTGACCGATCCCGTATTAGTTATGTATATATTTACTTATTTATGTACAAAGGAATACATACAAAATACGGTTTAAGTCGAACATTCACACATACACACACACACTCAAGACTGCTTCACCGAACCATAAGTCTAGCGAACTTTCTCACTCTAACGTAGTTACTTTCTTTTGGGCATCATGCATGTGCTTTACATAGAGGTTTGATCGGCTTACAGACATGTAGGTTTGATCGAGTTCGCACGCACACACGCACACAATTTAACATCAAAGTATCTGGCAAGCAGCTGGCGCTACACGCTATTATTTTGATCAGTACTTTATTCGTTTTCTTATAATATGGTTAAATGTTAATAATTTCCTTTGTCCGGATTTTGATATGCGCCTCCCGATTTGATCTCAGTTGAATTTTATAAGTATGAGTTGTCAATTTAAACGAATATCTTTTGTTTTGTAGTATTAGAAATGTATTATTATAGCCAATTTCACTTTGCACTTCAAAAGGGACAAACATATGTATATGTATATAATTCAGACGCATATATTATTTTATTATTATAAGAAGCTTACAAGAAGTTATTAGTTCTTTTTGATGCATTCAAATTTAAACAAATTAATACAATCTCTTTAATTTGCAAAGTAATTTATAAATTTTATAAAATTATTAATTATTTACTTTTCAAGCAATTCAGCATTTCAATTCAATACCTCTCACGACGATAGTAACTACTATACTTCAACTATCGTTTCAAAAACTCTCGAGTGGCGGTACTATCGATAGTATCACAGCTCTAGCATGCAGTTAATAGGGATGCGTATCGGCAATGAAAATTTGATATATCGGTATCGCGATATTCCAAATTGACGATATTCGATACCGATATATCTACTAAAATAATATCAATATATTGAATATCGGCAATATCGATTCACACCGACCTCGTTGCTTTGTTAGTTGGCAGTTTTGCGTATATTTCGTTTTCGTTTCGTTGTTTTTTTTTTTTAATTTACAAACGCCAAATACATATACGTAAAACTACCAAAAAAATACGAATAGGCATAAATTTATATCACGAAGGTACTGTGGATAAGATACACTTTAATTATTTTGAAAAATAGTAACCAGAGTTCAACAACTTTGATTTTCCCCTCCTCACAAGCAAGTCTAGGGGGTATATTCCGTATTGCGATTCGAAATCATCGTATATACTTACATGTATGGAATCTTATGCCCCTTTTTGTCTATTCTCTTTCTAACAGCGGACGTGCCTGCCAAACTGAAAAGCATGATGGGGCAGTGTTTGACAGTTACGTTCGAAGATGCGAACGGCAATGGAAGGTAAGAAATGGAAGATGGATGACATGAGAAGGAAAGAATTATGAAATAGCAGAATGTCGAACCAAAACGAATTTCAAAAATCTGACAATGCGAATGACGTCAAGACGAAAGAAATTCAAAATAGCGAAATGTCGAAATAGAAAAAATAGATGACAAGCACGTGTTCAAGGGTTTCGTGCAACAAAAAGAGTTCTTGTGTTGCGCCATTCAATATTAAAAAAATTTTAATGTGGTTAAATACGCTTTTTTAAAAAGTTGAAAAAACTACATATTTCGCCAGCCAAAAAGTGTATAAATAAATATATAGCATCTTGCTATAGGATTTATTCATAAAAACGGTATATGCTTATGGCCTTATTCATAAAAAATAAAATAGATTTAAAGACCTCTCTCTATACAGTAACATTAAAAAAAAATAGATTTGTTTACTTTTTAAGAATTTTGGTATAACATTTAACTTAACTCTTTGTGCACCCCTCTCTTTCTATTTATTATTCTCAAATTTTTCTTTTCCTTAATACTCATTTGACTGAGTTTCAATTACACCCAGTAAAAATCATGAAAAAATATTAGAAAGTAAAACCATTCTCTCAATTCGTCGGCCATGAATTTTTTCTGACGTTTGCAAACATTTGAAAATCATATAAAATTGAAACTAACAAAAATTAAATTGTTCACAATTGTTGTTGTTTGAGATTAAAAATCAGAATGTGTGTGTGAGCTTGAGTTCGAATTTTAAANTACGAATAGGCATAAATTTATATCACGAAGGTACTGTGGATAAGATACACTTTAATTATTTTGAAAAATAGTAACCAGAGTTCAACAACTTTGATTTTCCCCTCCTCACAAGCAAGTCTAGGGGGTATATTCCGTATTGCGATTCGAAATCATCGTATATACTTACATGTATGGAATCTTATGCCCCTTTTTGTCTATTCTCTTTCTAACAGCGGACGTGCCTGCCAAACTGAAAAGCATGATGGGGCAGTGTTTGACAGTTACGTTCGAAGATGCGAACGGCAATGGAAGGTAAGAAATGGAAGATGGATGACATGAGAAGGAAAGAATTATGAAATAGCAGAATGTCGAACCAAAACGAATTTCAAAAATCTGACAATGCGAATGACGTCAAGACGAAAGAAATTCAAAATAGCGAAATGTCGAAATAGAAAAAATAGATGACAAGCACGTGTTCAAGGGTTTCGTGCAACAAAAAGAGTTCTTGTGTTGCGCCATTCAATATTAAAAAAATTTTAATGTGGTTAAATACGCTTTTTTAAAAAGTTGAAAAAACTACATATTTCGCCAGCCAAAAAGTGTATAAATAAATATATAGCATCTTGCTATAGGATTTATTCATAAAAACGGTATATGCTTATGGCCTTATTCATAAAAAATAAAATAGATTTAAAGACCTCTCTCTATACAGTAACATTAAAAAAAAATAGATTTGTTTACTTTTTAAGAATTTTGGTATAACATTTAACTTAACTCTTTGTGCACCCCTCTCTTTCTATTTATTATTCTCAAATTTTTCTTTTCCTTAATACTCATTTGACTGAGTTTCAATTACACCCAGTAAAAATCATGAAAAAATATTAGAAAGTAAAACCATTCTCTCAATTCGTCGGCCATGAATTTTTTCTGACGTTTGCAAACATTTGAAAATCATATAAAATTGAAACTAACAAAAATTAAATTGTTCACAATTGTTGTTGTTTGAGATTAAAAATCAGAATGTGTGTGTGAGCTTGAGTTCGAATTTTAAAATTATATTGCTGGCAAACGTCAGACTGTCTCTCAATGATTTTACCTTGTAATGTTTTTATCATGGTAAAAATCAAAATATTTTATAAGAAATTTGTTGACCGTTTTACAACGGCATTTAAAGCTTTTTTTGTTCAAATTGAAAAGATTTCCTCCTTCGCACACTTCTCTCATGCTTTTTTATCGTAGTTATTATTCTGTTGACATCTAAATTGCCATACATTTTATGTCGTTACCAATACATTGTTTTCCGGCGTTTCCTCTGTGAACTTTTATAATTACATACATTCATAAAAATATTACTAATTTTGGTTTATATTTTTTTTCATCTTGCTATTGTTGAATATCAAAAAGGAACTAATAAATAATAAAAGGTTAGTTACAGTTTTAGTGAATGGTTCTTGTTGGGTGAGAGGGCTATTAGCAACAATATTTAGTCCGTAGAATTATTCGTGTATTATTTACTTTATTCAGTACAGTAAGAATAGTTCTACAAGCCTCATATCACTCATTTAGTTGTTTACACTCAAATTCTAGCTTTAAGGCAATTGAGCATTGAAGCTCCTTTGTGAGCTTTCTCACATTTAAGCGCTACATATGTACTTATCACTTCAATTTTTATGTAACTATGTAATTAGTTTTAGTTCGCTCAAGGCAATGGAATAAAGAAGACTTAGAATTCACACGTCTGGTGTTTTTTATTTGCCTTACCTCAAACATTGGCGACCGCAACAGGACTTGTCCTGCACCATAAACTTCAAGAAAAAAAGAGGGTTTCTTTTGTTTTCGCGAGTCATTGCTAAGAAAATTTGTGTGGTCCACGCGCATCACTGGACTAGTTGAAAGAGCATTCATCAGTTCGTTGTCATGGCATAAATTGCTCTACCAACAAAAACTCATCAATTCGTCATTGCGGAGTGCAGTACAGCATAGTACACAGCTTCACACATATCGTTTCCGTTCTCAAAGGCGTTTCAAAAAGGGTCAACTTCATCATTGTAAGTTTCCACACACTTTGTCGTCGCTAAATATTTTCGCGGCGTGCCTCGCCCCACACCTCGTGGTTTCAGTACATCGAAACATACGTTATTATATCGTGCACGGCCTCATCAGACATCTTGCTTAAGTCCACAAGCGTTGAAAGAAACGTTACGTTGCAGCTTGGTTTGGCAAACTGGGCTACCAAAATCGACACCAAGTGATTGCCATCTCAATCGTTAACTTCTCGTCGACAGCCACGTCATTGGCTCTACGTATCATATCGTTCAACAAACGTGTGAGATGCCCATCGCAGTGGATGACAGCATAGGCTCATCATACTCCCGCTGGCAGTCTCCGAATCATCGCTGAACATCATCCTAGCTGAAATACCTACATATATGCAGAAAAACGCTAAGGTAAACTATTGGGCTCGTCGTGCATACATATATCTTCAGTTTCGATAAAGGCATATTTTGGTCCAACTACAAACATGGAAGGGCATTCAAGGTGAAAATCGCAGCATTAAATTAGCGGTACACAAATCTGTCAACAGTTGTAAGTTCACTTTGCGAATATATACCTATTTACATATACTTATATTAACTTATATACTCATACATATGTAAGACTTTTAACAAACAATAAGTAACTGTTGCTAGGTATATGTACATTTGTACATAGATAAGCCTTATATACTTAAGTAATTAGAAGTTTTCAGTAACGCTCTCGCCTAATACTATATTCCCCCGGTGAAAATCATATTTTTGTTGGTGCAAAGGTTATTTTTTGTTTCTCGCGCTTTCTTGTCATCAGCACTCTGGTTTGCATCATAAGCTACAGCCGAATCATAAAGCTGCCCTCGCGTTAGTTTCACTCTTCGGCATAATCACATTTATTGCTCACTTTGCTCCCTTTAGCCTCAAGTTAAATTTGCCTGACTTCATCAAAGGTACAACTCATCTCTAAACTGCTCAAATTAACTACATACATACAAATGCATGTATATGTATACTTAAAATTTTCTGTATTATCACAGCATTTGTGATAAATGACAATTTCGTTTTGCTTGTCGTCGGCATTCTTTTTGTTGGTTTAGGAAAACAAGCTCTAGAAGTTACAGTTAATGTCTTTTTGCTCTCTTCGATTTCATCGATTGAGCTTTATCAAAATGGGAAATGAAGACGAGCAGCAAACAAGTGTTGAAGCCCTATCTTCTTTGAAGCAGCAAAGGTCAATTATGAAGCGAAATATAACAAACATGAAGTCAAAGGTTGAAAAAGAAGGGGATAATGCTGATTCTATCACATTAGAATGTCGTCTCCAAATACTAGAGTCTCATTTTAAGCAGATAAGCCACATTCAGGGCCAAATTGAAAAGATTAGCCCTGATGACAATGCAAGAAGTGACATCGAAGAGAGCTATATAGAAATAAAAGGAAAGATTATGAGACTTTTGAATAAAGGTCGTCGTCCAAGTCTAGCCCAAGCAAGTTTTGGGAATGCCTCGACTAGTCATTCGTTTACACATCAAAGTCGCTTGCCTACCTTAAAATTACCCAAGTTTGATGCCAAATATGCCGAGTATAAACGATTTTCGCACACATTCGCTAATTTTGTCAATGACGATCCCACAATTCCCACAATAGAAAAGTTTAATTATTTAATAAACTGTCTCTCAGGCCAAGCATTGGCTATTGTAGAACCATTTCAAATAACAGAGAACTACCCTAAAGCACTGGCGCGTTTAAAGGAACGTTATGACAATAATGTACTCATTTTCTTAGATTACATATCTTCTTTGTTTGCTTTACAAGCAATGCCTAAAGCCGATGCCACTGCGTTACGTATCATAATAGATAAGGTATCTGCTCTGCGTTCATCTTTGCCCTCGTTGGGACCAGAAATTGATATCCTTAACTCAATCATAATTCATATAGTTCTATCGAAGGTAGATACTGGGTGAAAAATAGTGTACGAAGAAAAGCAGGAACACAATTCCGTTCCCACTTGGGAAGAGTGCTACGCCATTCTTAACAGGCGTTGTCAGCTCTTAGAGAGCCGTGTCAAAACCCCAGATTCGCGTGAGCCACAACGTGATTACAAGGCAAAATCTAATGTAAAAAGACCTCATACGTTTGTTAATTCTAAGTTGAATTGTATTTTATGTAGCGGTGCAGAACATGCAATAGGAAGTTGCTCTGCATTTCTAGCGCTTCCAGTCAATGAGCGTTTTGACTTTGTCAAACGTTCAGCATTATGTTTAAATTGTTTGCGCAAAGGGCATGCAGCTATTAAATGCCCATCAAAGTATAAATGCCGCGTGTGCAAGGCATGTCACCACACACATTTACACATTTTTTCTGTCGCTAAGCCGTCAGTAAATCAAGTCGCTTCGGTGAATCACACAACTGATCACAATGCATCACAAGACTTCGCAGCTCAAGGCACTTCAAGACAAATCAATGCAACGTCAATGGTTATTCGATCGTGAAAAGAGACATAATACCAACTGCCATTGTTATGGTGAAAGATAAATTCGGGATTTTCCAGCCCGTTCGCGAACTTTTAGACTCTTGCTCTGAAGTTAATTTTATGACCGAAGAAACTGCAAAACGCTTGCAACTAAGTCGTTTACATTGCCAACAAGATATTTCAGGTATAGGGGACATTCACACCCAAATCAAACATGCTGTTTTTGCTACAGTTCGTTCACGTTATACCGATTTTGAATGGTCTTCGTGGTTTGCTGTTACTAAGTCGATATCAGAAAAACAACCTGGGGACTATATACGCACTGATAATTGGAATATTCCACAAGGAACCAACCTAGCAGACCCCTTATTCTACAAACCGCAGCGAATTGATCTTTTGATTAGCACAGAAGTGTTTTTCGAACTTATTCATCAGGAAAAGATTTCTTTGGGCGAAGGCTTGCCGTGTTTGACAAGCACAGCGTTAGGTTGGATAGTCGGGGGAAAATTTGAATATAAGGCAGACTTTCGACCGCTGACATGCAACGTAACTGTAGAGTCTGCAACTCTAGACACTTTGCTACAGTGATTTTGGGAGGTTGAGGAAGTTGCTCAACATTCCTCTCAATTGCCAGAAGAACAAAAGCGATGTGAAAAACATATCTGTGATAACGTGGTAGTTACTACCAGTGGCCGCTTGCAGGTAAGCCTATCATTCAAGGAATCCCCAGAAGTTTTGGGAAATTCCTTAGACAATGCTCGTGAAAGATTTCTCTCGCTTGAACGCCGCTTGTATCGCGACCCGCTTCTACATAACATGTATTCCGATTTCATGCACGAATATGAGAGCTTAGGACACATGTCGTTAGTAAATAAGACAAATCTTGATCGGTTGCCTTATGTTATTCCACATCATTGTGTCCTGCGCCCAGAAAGTACCACCACAAAGCTTCGGGTGGTATTTGATGCATCAGCTTCAACTTCATCAAATCGCTCATTGAATGACATTCTAATGGTAGGACCTACCATTCAACAAGAGTTACTCATAACTCTTTTGACCTTCCGCTTAAATCGCTACGCTTTAACAGCCGATATTGCAAAAATGTATCGGCAGTTTTTGATTAAAGAAAGTTACCGCAACTTTCAATTAGTTTTATGGAGAAAGAGCAGAGACGAACCGTTGCAGATATATCAATTGAATACCGTAACATACGGTATGGCCTCAGCCCCTTTTCTCGCAATTCGATGCCTTTTCTTCATAGCTGACTTGTTCCATGATATCTATCCTATAGGTGCAAAGGTTTTGAAGGAAGACCTATACGTTGACGATTTGTTAACTGGAGCTGATAGTGAGAACAGGCTTGAGCAAATTCGAAACGAAGTCACTGCAATGCTCGCGCAATCAGGACTTAATTTAGCAAAATGGAGTTCAAATAGTTTAAACTTACTTTCAGACACGAAAACTGAGATTCCCATAAAAGCAAGTGATGAAAACATCACAAAGGCATTGGGTATATCATGGAAACCGAAGGTTGACATGATTTGTTTTCGTTTTGATTTTGTCGACATTCAAAACTCACTAAGCGTTCTATTTTGTCAACCGTGGCTAGAATTTACGATGTATTAGGTTTGCTAAGCCCAATCACAATTCGATGCAAAATACTAATGCAGGAGTTGTGGATTCGACAGATTGATTGGGATGAGCCTCTGCCTAAAAGCTTAGCCGATTTATGGCTGCAAATAGCAGACGACTTGCCATTAATTAATAAAACACTTTTACACCCTGTTTCAGTGAAATTCATGGTTTCGCTGACGCATCATCGCGCGCATATGGCTGCGCAATCTACGTTAGGACGTTCGTACAAGGCTCTTTTCAATGCACGCTTCTTATATCGAAATCAAAAGTAGCTCCCATTAAAACTCAGTCGATACCAAGACTTGAACTGTGCGCAGCGTTGCTTCTTAGTAGGACATGGAATTACATCAAACATAAACTTTTGAGCTACGTAAAGAAAATATACTTCTGGATAGATTCAAAGGTCGTCTTGCAGTGGCTCAAAATGCATGCATCCACACTTAACTGTTTCGTTGGAAATCGTGTCTCAGAGCTCCAAGAAAACAGCAATGGGGTTTCTTGGAGGCATGTCCCAACAAAATGCAATCCAGCGGATGTTGTATCGCGGGGATGTAGTGCGGCAGATTTGCTTACAACAATGTGGTTTTCAGGACCACCATTCCTTCAGTGTAACGAAGATAAGTGGCCTATATTAGACACGTGCACTGATACCCCAGATATAGAGCGTCGGAGCATTGCATCTTTCAAGTGCAGCATTAGCAACAACGAAGAAAACATTCTTATGAATATTATTGAAAATTGTTCTTCTTTTCCAAAATTCTTCGCATCATTTCATACGTTTTCCGCGTTTTCAACGGGGTTTCCACCAATCTGAAATTAATAGCAAAGAATGTGATGCATACGTCTACAAGCGAACTTGACCAAACATTTTGGCGAATCATAGCTAACATACAACGTATTGAATACAATCACGAAATCGAGAGCCTTGAAAATGGCAAATCTTTACCGGTAAGCCTCCAAAGGCTTTCGCCTTTCCTTCAAAAAACGAAAATCGGCGAGAGAAATTTCTTGATTCTTAGAGTCGGTGGTCGTCTTCGAAATGCCGACATGTCGTATGAAGAGAAACATCCAGCTCCTCTACCAAAAACACACCGTTTTACTCATCTTTATGTTTCATTTCANATGGAATTACATCAAACATAAACTTTTGAGCTACGTAAAGAAAATATACTTCTGGATAGATTCAAAGGTCGTCTTGCAGTGGCTCAAAATGCATGCATCCACACTTAACTGTTTCGTTGGAAATCGTGTCTCAGAGCTCCAAGAAAACAGCAATGGGATTTCTTGGAGGCATGTCCCAACAAAATGCAATCCAGCGGATGTTGTATCGCGGGGATGTAGTGCGGCAGATTTGCTTACAACAATGTGGTTTTCAGGACCACCATTCCTTCAGTGTAACGAAGATAAGTGGCCTATATTAGACACGTGCACTGATACCCCAGATATAGAGCGTCGGAGCATTGCATCTTTCAAGTGCAGCATTAGCAACAACGAAGAAAACATTCTTATGAATATTATTGAAAATTGTTCTTCTTTTCCAAAATTCTTCGCATCATTTCATACGTTTTCCGCGTTTTCAACGGGGTTTCCACCAATCTGAAATTAATAGCAAAGAATGTGATGCATACGTCTACAAGCGAACTTGACCAAACATTTTGGCGAATCATAGCTAACATACAACGTATTGAATACAATCACGAAATCGAGAGCCTTGAAAACGGCAAATCTTTACCGGTAAGCCTCCAAAGGCTTTCGCCTTTCCTTCAAAAAACGAAAATCGGCGAGAGAAATTTCTTGATTCTTAGAGTCGGTGGTCGTCTTCGAAATGCCGACATGTCGTATGAAGAGAAACATCCAGCTCCTCTACCAAAAACACACCGTTTTACTCATCTTTATGTTTCATTTCAACATAAAGCGAATTTACATGCAGGAGCTAAAGTTTTACTCAGCATTCTTCAACAGCGCATATGGGTTGTAAATGCGCGAGAGGTTGTACGCAAAGCGGTGCGCAATTGCGTGCATTGCTTTCAATATAAGCCCAAACTTATAAGCCAAATTATGGGCGATCTACCCAAAGATCGCGTAACAGCTCAAATTCCCTTTACTGTATGTGGTGTAGACTTTTGCGGCCCATTTTTGACTTCCTTTCGTTTACGAGGAAAACCGCCATATAAAACATATGCGGCGATCTTTATATGCTTCTCTTCAAAGGCCGTTCATATAGAACTCGTTTCGGATTTGACGACGAATGCATTTTTGCTCTGTTTGAAACGCTTCATTTCCCGGCGCGGCGTGCCATTTCATTTATACTACGACAACGCAACAAATTTTGTCGGCGCGCACAATAAACTCCAAGAATTTCAAAGGAACCACTTTAATCAAAAATCTCTTGATACAGTGTTGCGCTACAGCAGTGAAGTTGGCTTCGAGTTTCGATTCATACCTCCTAGAGCACAACATTTCGGTGGACTGTGGGAGGCGGCAGTGAAATCCACAAAAACACTTTTAGTAAAGAATATGGGTCAAACAAATTTAACTTACGAAGAGCTTCAAACACTTTTTGTAGAAATCGAGGCGATTTTAAATTCCAGACCTATAGTTGCTCTCTCCAACGACCCTAATGACGGACCAGCACTTACACCAGGTCACTTGTTAATTGGTAAATCACTTAAGGCTTTACCATCTGAGCAAACAGATATCAACAAGAATATAGCTTCCATGACAAAGTTTCAGCAAATTACTTTCTTAAAAAATCAATTTTGGCAACAATGGAGGCGCGATTACTTGCGAGAACTACAGCAGCGTATGAAGTGGTATAAATCAGAACCAAATGTTAAGCTCGGACAGGTTGTTATTATCCAAGAAGAAATTTGCCACCACAGCAATGGCTTCTAGCTCGTATCCTAGCTGCAAGCACGGGTGCTGATGGAAAGATTCGAGTAGTAGACTTACAAACAAAAAAGGGTATTATACGACGCGCAATCCACAGGCTTGCTCCTCTACCCATTGTGGAAGATGCTTGAAAGTTTAGAAGCTTTCAACGGGGAGAGTATGTTGGGTGAGAGGGCTATTACCAACAACATTTAGTCCGTAGAATTATTCGTGTATTATTTACTTTATTCAGTATAATAAGAATAGTTCTACAAGCATCATATCACTCATTTAGTTGTTTACACTCAAATTCTAGCTTTAAGACAATTGAGCATTGAAGCTCCTTTGTGAGCTTTCTCACATTTAAGCTCTACATATGTACTTAGCACTTCAATTTTAATGTAACTATGTAATTAGTTTTAGTTCGCTCAAGGCAATGGAATAAAGAAGACTT